AATTTTTTTTTTTTTTTTTTTTTTTTTTTTTTTGGTCCCAGGGATCAACTTAGGACCTTGTGCTTGTGAGGCAGGTGGCAGCACTGCTGAGCTAAACCCTGGCCCTGGCCCGATTCAGTTTTTAATGTGGATGCACATAACCACCTTATTAAAAGCAATGTGGATAGTTTTTGTACATAGTAGCTATAATTTAAAATGATTAACATAGTAATAAGCACTGTATATTATCTCCTTTACCTTTATTTTAGGAGATAGATACGTATTTTAGAGCTAAAAAAACTAGGAATTAAGAAGATAAGCAACTTTTCCAGTAATTGTCAGTAGAATTTCAAGCCAGGTGCCTCTGATTCCAGAGGCTACTTCCTTTAACAGTTGTTAGAAATGAGGCTAAAACAGTCCCTAGAAAGAGCCTGAGCAACAGGAGTATGACCACAAGTTCAAGGCCAGCCTGGGCTACACAGTGAGTTCTAGTCCAAGTCCAACCTGAATTCCATAGTAAGACCTCTCTCAAAATAATAACTGGTAATGTGAAATAGGAAGTAAAGGGTTAAAGGTGTAGGGGAAGTTGGAAGGGCAGAGGAAAGGAAATAAGGGAAACGAAAAAAATTGAGAAAATGAAAAAATGGAAACAAAGTCTTTGTAAACGGGAGGGTGGAGGGGGTGAAAGGAGGGCAGGGGTATGGGGAAAAACAGAACCAAGACCTGTCATGTAAAGGTGCAAGATCCCGGTGATGAATGTAACTGTACTGTGTACTTAAAAAGTACCAATAAACTCAATAAGATTAAAAAATAAATAATAAAAATAAAACAAATTTTTAAATGAATACATTCTAATATCTATTTCAAGAAATATGGCTAAAATTCTTATGTAGAATGACTCCTGATCACAATTTCTTTACCTGATAATTGTCAGGATTCTTTGACTTCAGCTCTAGATGATTTCTAATTTTTGTTAAATAATAAAATTTGTGGAGTCAAGGAAGTGTAGTATGAAATATAAATTTAATTTTGACCCTGGCTTATTTCTGATCTTTTCGTGCAAATAGAGCTGTATTTTACAAATTTTGTGCTGACTCTACACAGTGGCTTTAAAAGTTTTTAGAAAAAAAGTAAACTATCACCCAGTGAAAATGAGAAATAAATATCAGCTGGTTTGGGTTTTTTTTTTTGGTTTTGGGGTTTTGGGTTTTTGTTTTTTGGGGTTTGTTTGCTTTTTTTTTTTTTTTTTGGTACCAGGGATCGAACTTGGGACCTTGCGTTTGTGAGGCAGGCGACAGAACCACTGGGCTAAATCCCCAGCCCTCATCAGCTGTTTCAGAAAAATAATGAATGTCAAGATTTGGGGTAAGCCAGTTATAGAAATTAAAGTATATAGATTTGTTTTATGCAGAGAAAATCATTTACAAATGTTTTTCATAAATTATTAGTAAGAAATGTGACCCACTGGGTTAAAAAAAAAAAGAATTATCCTTTATTTTATGAGATTGTATAGTGAGAGTGCTCTAACTTAGAATTAATGTCCTTTAAGAGGCGTTGAAGAAATCTAGATTCTAGAGTTGTTAGAAAAGGAGTTCTTTGGGCACATAGTTCCCTCTTTCGGTGACTGCAGATTTCCTTCCCTGTGGACTGATGAGCGCTTTGGGGCAGAAGAGAACTTCTGAAAGTATTGCCATCTCTTCTCCCTCCCGCCTCATTCCTGTAGGTGTACCAGCATTCGACCAGGAGAGACTGGAATGGATGTAACAAGTCGCTGCACCCTTGGAGACCCCAACAAACTGCCAGAAGGGGTTCCCCAACCTGCCCGCATGCCCTATATTTCAGACAAGCATCCTAGACAAACCTTGGAAGTGATTAACCTCCTGAGAAAGCACCGGGAGCTATGTGACGTGGTGCTAGTTGTGGGAGCTAAGAAGATATATGCGCATCGAGTCATTCTGTCAGCCTGTAGTCCCTACTTCCGAGCTATGTTTACAGGAGAATTGGCAGAGAGCCGTCAGACAGAAGTCGTGATCCGAGACATAGACGAGAGGGCTATGGAACTACTGATTGACTTTGCGTATACCTCCCAGATAACTGTAGAAGAAGGCAATGTTCAGACCCTCTTGCCAGCTGCTTGTCTCCTCCAGCTAGCAGAAATACAGGAAGCCTGCTGTGAATTCTTAAAGAGACAATTAGATCCTTCTAACTGCCTGGGCATTCGGGCTTTTGCTGACACACATTCTTGCCGAGAGTTGCTGAGGATAGCAGACAAGTTCACTCAACATAATTTTCAAGAGGTGAGTCATACTTGATGGTTTGGATGCATTTATAACCTATTTTTCATAAGATGGTATGAGTTCACATTCTACTAACTTTGGCTTGGATATTTACAGCTGCTTCTAACTCATAATGTTACCAAAATCTATTATAAATTCTAAGCCTGGTTTTTATTTTAAAAATTAATTTTGTGTTCTCTCAGCAAAAGTTGTTTCTCCCTGGCCACATTCATAAAAGGCTGCTATATAAGCTAAAATACAGTTCATTGATTCATAAGATCTGTGCCAGATAGGATAGCTGGTCTTAGTTATTAGCATTCTGAATTATTCAGAAGAATAAATTATAGCTAGAGGTTATTTGGTGAACTAATCATAAAAAGTGAATTTAGATGATATCAAAAGAATTTTCATTAACTCAAAGCTACTGTGTTTCATCCACTGTGCTTGGGAACATAGACTAACTATAGTAGTGAAAAGAAACCCAGTCTCTATTTGTAGAGTTTATAATCTAGCTAATCTAGTTTCTGATTCATAGTCATGTACATAATTAATTATAATTTGTGGGTGCTACAGAACAGCATCCCTGAATGACTTAAAAGTGTACAAAAAGATAAACTTTGGTTCTGGAACAGTTCATGCAAAATCCTGAGACATCAACAAGCATAACTAATTTGAAAAAGTCAAAAACCCCAGTGAGACCTAGAGAGCTAGGAGGAGGGTGTTATATAAAGAACTCAAAGAAAGAAGAGGGCCATATCACTCTAGAGTTGATAAACTATGTTAAGAATTTAAGGTTTAATCTTTAAAAATAATAGAAAACTATTAAAGAACTTCAGCACAGAAAAGGCACAGTCCATTTTACATTTTAATGTCATTCCTTTGTCTACCAGTATATCCTCCAGTGGATCAAAGATTTAAACATATAAAATGAACCAAGATCTGTCATGTAAAGGTACAAGATCCCAATGATGAATGTAACTGTACTGTATACCTAAAATGTACCAATAAACTCAGTAAAAAAACATAAAATGAAAACCATAAAAATATTCCTTTATAATCTTGAAGTTAAGAAGGCCTTTATTACTGACAAATCAGAAAGGATAGAAAATAGATTTGACTGCATAAAACAAAATTTTCTGCATGGTGGAACAAAGCTACAATAGGAACACAAAAGTCAAAGACGAACTGAAGGAAAATATTTGCAATTGATATCACAGACCAAGGTTAACCTACTTAATATATCAAGACCCCCCCTTTGGTCAATAACCCAGACCAGTGAGCTAACCGAAAAATGGACAATAAACAAACAAACAAAAAATTAAAATTGCCCTTAAACATCTGAAAGTGCTCGAGTTTCTTCAAAATAACTGAAACAGGGCTGGAGATTTAGCTCAGTAGTACCACCACCTGCCTCACAAGCACAAGGTACCCAAAACAAAACAAAAAAAAAATTAAAACTATACATGCCAAAGTACCATTATTTTATTGATCACGTTACAGCTATCTCAAAGTTTGATTATGTATCCTTGCGCTTGTGAGGCTGGTGGCTGAACTACTGAACTAAATCCCAGGCCCTGCCACAACCCTTTTGAAAGGGAACTTGGTGGTATCAATCAAAAGTACACCTTTTGCATCTAGTTTTTGGCTCAGCAGTGTCCTTTCTGGGAATCTGTATGACAGATAATGGAGAATAGAACAGTTTGAATAGATAAATCATAGGTCCTTTTTTCAATATTGTAGTAGTTAGCTGTGTGTCAGCTTGAGTAAAAAATGCCCAGTTGATTGGATTAACATAGTTCTGGGTGTGGCTGAAGAGTCCTTGAAAAGAGAGTGTGAGCGGCACCAACCAATGGGCTTATAGCCTGAATGGAATAAAAAGGCAGGGAAGAAGTAGTCTAGCTTCCGTTTCTTCAGAGGAGCTCCAGTGTGCCTCTGCCTTCAGCTTTGCCTTGGGCATCAGCATACTCTTCCGCCCTCCCCACAGACCCTTTGGCCTACTGATATGGACTCACATAGGACCCTGCGGAAAGCTCCAGGCCTTTGACATTTGACTGAGTGCGAACAGCACTCTTCATACCTGACTCCACAGATGGTCATGGTAAGCCTAGCTTGTAAATCTTAGGTATTTATAAATCTTATATTGAATCTGTTTTTCTAGTGTGCACTGACTGATACGGGTATGTACAGTTTGAAATGCCTGTGAAATATCTAAGTAAAGATATTGAACAAGCAACTGTTTATAGGTGTCTGTTCCTTAGAGATTAGGCCGAAATTAAAATTTAGGAGTATTAACAAACCACGGCCTCATCCTTTTTAAGCAGGATATATAACCTAGGAAGCATAAAGGAAAAAATGAACACATTCAATTGCATAAAAATGTAAAATGTTTTATATGCTATATATTCTAGAATAACCAGGAAGCTCCTGAAAATTAGTATTAGGGCAAAAGGCCCTAAAAATATTAAGATGTTACAGACATTTTGGTACTAGAGAAAGAACAAATTGGCGCATTAGAAAAGAATCCAGAAGTGGGCATTGTAAGCCAGTGGAAGAAAGTGGAATTATTTAATAAATGTCATTAGGATAAATGACAATTTGGGAGAAATTATAAATACCTTAAATAGATTAAAATTCTAATAGATAAATAACTTAAGTTTTAAAAAATTCTAAAGTTCTGGCAGATAGCATTAATTGTCTGGGAATGAAGATCTTAGCAGGATATAACCCAGAAACCATTAAGAAAGAGATTAATACATGTAATTTTTTTTGGTACCAGAAATTGAACTCAGGACCTTATGCTGGAGAGGCAGGAGGCAGAACTACTGAGCTAAATCCCCGGCTCTATAATTTTTTTTTTTTTTTTGGCTTTTTGAGACAAGGTCTCACTAGGTAGTTGAGACTGACCTGGAATTCACTATGTAGCCCAGGCTGGTTTCGAACTCACAGTGATCCTCCTGCCTCAACCTCCCAAGTGCTGGGATTACAGGTGTGCACCACCATGCCCAGCTTGGCCCTATAATTTTTAGAAGTGCAAACAATTTTTTTAATCTTTCCTATATTTTTATTTTCTCCCTTCAACCATAATAATATGATATCCAAATTTTGTCTTAATTGGTGGGTCTGTAAACACAGGACTGTTCATTCCACTCATAGGCAGGGCAAACGCTATTTCTTGAAATGGTCCTACCATGGACCCTCTGGTCATCCAACCCAAGTCACCCCCTTTATCTTCACCGGCTTTATCTTCCATACTGTGCGGCCACTTTATTGACTTGCATTCCAGACTTTAACTTCTCTGTGGCTCCCATAATTTTGCCGTGTTTTTCACATAGAATGTGTCAGGCCTTTATTCATTGCCACCATCTTTGGGGCCCTGAGTTTTTGTTCTTTTTTTTTGGTACCGGGGATTGAACTCGGGTCCTTGCGCTTGCAAGGCAGGCCACCGAACCGCTGAGCTAAATCCCCGGCCTTAAGTTTTTGTTCTTTATAACAACACAAGGTCAGAAAAACCTGTTCAGAGCATACGCAACAGAAAAAACACTAATTCCCACAAAGCTCTTACATATTTAGTGAATAATGAAAAATAACTAAAGTGTGTGAATGAGTGATGTATAAAACACACAAATAGACAATGAACGTGTGGAGGAATGCCCAGCCTCACCTAGAATTAAAGAGATAAGCATCAAAATAAGGTACTTATCAGGCTGAAAAGATTGTGAGTTATAAGGGATTGTAGAAATAAAATAAAACTTCTATATATCCTTTCCCAAAATTCACCATTTGTTAACATTTTGCCTCATTTGCTTTGTCGTTCCTGATGCTCCCGTGTGGTCCCCTCTGAACAGTGCCACGCCCTTTCTCGGTATCTGTGCACATAAACAACTACCTTTTCCACAGCAGAAGTCTCACAGTATCTGAGTATTAATTAAACATGTGTTTTAATACTAAGAGTCTCAGCGACAGACTCCCTAGTGTGCAAAACAGATCTCTGGGATCAGCATAAAAATTATATAGCTAAGAAATTCACTTGGAGTCAAGTAATAACTTAGAAAGGTGTAAAAGGTTTAAATGAGAGCTGTTCTGGGAGAAGTGTGATATTTCTCTTCAGAGAAGATTTAAAAACAAATAATTTGGAAGCAAGATATTCAGTGCACTCTTTTGAATATTAAGACAATAATGATGAGTGAAGAGAAAGCTAAAGAAGAGTCAATAAGTATAACATGCTTAATTAAAAAAAAAAAAATTTAGCTCAGGGCGCCCCGCCTGCCTCACAAGCACAAGGGCCTGAGTTCAATCCCTGATACCCCCCTCCCAAAAAAAGTAACTAAGACTTTCAGCTAAAATTAAAGGTTACTAATTTATTTCCTGAGCCCAGCAAAGTCTCTCAGATAATATGAAGACTTGTGCCATTAAAAAGTATGACTGTGTACCTCTAAGCTGTTCTGAAGTTTGAACTTTTTTTCTGATAAGTTTTTGAGAAATGTTCTTAAATCAAATGTTCAAATTATTATTAGGACATATCTCATATCCTGCTAAATATTCTGACTCTTTGATGAGCATGAAAATAACCATCCCCCAAAAACATCCATTGTCTGCATTAGAAGCAGCACGGTAGGAATTTGAGCCCTTAACCATATCCTGCCTACACTAGTAGACATTACATGTAGCACACAACCTCCTGAGTAATAGAACAAACCACATAGAGGGTAGCAGTAACTGTTTCCTTTGCCTGCCTCTTTTACTCTGTATCTTGATTAATCGACTTCAAAGATCTTGGAATTTGTGGTTGGCCTGGGCAACAAGATAATGTCTTTGTTGCCATTTCATCTCCATTCTGACAATTTCCTAGACTTGGAGAAAGATAAATTATGGGGAGCTTTGTAGTTCCACATAAACTGTATACCAGAATAGGTTGGTTCTCGGAGGCTTTCATTGTTCTCATTCTCTCTGGTTATATTCATGCTTGCACAATTACTGACATCTGTAATGGTTTTTGTAAACTGACACTTTGGTATTTTTGCCCTAAACATTGCCCTTCTAGCAACTACTGTATCCTTCTGAAAGATTTTCCTGACTTTTTGGAGTTTTGTTGTGGTATAGCTAATTTGTCTTGTTTTAATATGAGTTTTGGAAGACTTCCTTTAATTTTTAGATCCCATTGCTGAAAAGAGCCATTAAATAAGATTATAATACCATAGTTCAGAAGGAATAGTGCTAAGTAATTAAGAAAAGCTTCCTTTTGAAACATGTATCAATATATGTGGAAGAGTTAGAAAATGCTAAACATGTTACAGTAGAGGGCATTAAAGATGTACTGAGTAATAAAGCAGTGTTAGAGCATTTGGAAGGTTTCTGGATGTTGAGCTAGTTCATGGAAATGTGTAAACTAAATTGACTACAGATGAAATTACTGAAGTGAATGCAAAACAACAAAAATTCTCACAATGCAAGAAAAAAGCAAAAGTAGTCAAGAAAAGAGAAGCCAGGTATGTTGACACGTGCCTGTGATCCCAGCATTCAGGAGGCTAAGGCAATAGTACTGCCATGAGTTCAGAAGCCAGTCTAGGCAAGTAGTGAAACCCTTTAAAAAAGAGAGAGAGAGAGAGAGAGGAGAAGAGAGAGGGAGGCCTGGGATTTAGCTCAGTGGTGCTCTGCCTACGTCACAAGCACAAGGTCATAAGTTCGATCCCTGGTACTGCAAAAAAAAAAAGGTGGGAGAGAGAAAAACCTACAAGGTCAGTCAGTCCAGGAGATGAAATCTACACATAGTCTGAACACCTTAAACAGAGGATAGTAAAAATGAAGCTGAAATAATAATTAAGGAACTAATTGAAGAAAAATTTCCAGAGCTGAAAAACAAAGTAGACCTACAAATGTAAAAGGACCTAGTGTATCTTTAAATTTTAATGAAAAAAAAATGCAACAGCTAGGTATATCCTAGTGACTTTTTTAAATTTCAAGGATAAAGGGGGGAAAAAATCTCACAAATATCTAGACAGAAAAAGCCCCTTTAAAGGGGCAAAAGTCAGGCTGACCTCAGATTTTTTCTCTTGGAATTCTAAATGCCAGGCAACAGTAGAACAATATCTACAGTTTTAAGGGAAAATAATTTTGCACCAAGAATTATATACCCTGCCAAATTAGTATTTCTACATGAAAGCAAGTAGAAGACATTCTCAGATATCCAGGGGTTAGGAAAATATATCAACCAAGAAACTCTGAAGTTTTGCCAAATGATTATATTGTACCCAACACAGAACAAGAATTTAAAATAACTAAAGAATAAAAAATTATACAAGGTCCCAAATTCGATCCCCAGTATGAAAAAAGAATAAGAAATTGTATGAAAGAATTGATAGTAAGCATTAAAATTAGTTAAGAAGCATGAAGTCTAAAATTATCACGTATACCAAGACCTGTCATGTAAAGGTACAAGATCCCAATAATGAATGTAACTGTACTGTATACCTAAAATGTACCAATAAACTCAATTAAAAAAAGAATAAAGGCAAAGTAAAGTCACAAAAATAAATAAAATTATCACATATAGGATAATAAAACTAAATGCAAAAATAGATTTTTAAGCTAGATCTAAAATTTTCAGTGTATATAGTTTTAAACTGTCAAAAAGTATGCCAAATAAGGTATTGGGCAAATAAATACTGTTTTATTTTTGCCATGTAGTATTGTAGTTAAAGATGCATCTTGTTAAGCCAGATATGTGTAAAATAAAGATACTTTATCACTGTGGACAGGGCAAGTATGGTAAAGATTCTAAACATTAATCTGACAAAATTGGAAAATGGTACAGTTTTATTTTCCTTGTTTAATTACAAAGGAAAACCTAGCAAGTTTGTCCCTAATGTTAATACTAGTAGTACAAGAAGAAAATTTCTGAAGCGCACGTTGGAGAAAAGTAAACAAAACCTTGTTTGATACGCTGAATTGGAAAAAACTGTACATACTGCTTCATGCAGTAGTTCTTATAAGTCAGTTTGTCATTGATTTGTGCTCAAAAATAAGATGAAAACTTTCCAAGTATTTGGAATTAAAAAGTGAAAAAGTAGCAAAGAAAAATGTCCAGGAAGCATTAAAATTAGCATAAAAGTATTGACAGATAAACTGGTTAAATTCTCCGTGAAAAAGATCCAAATTGAGTCAAAAATAAACCTCTGTCCAGGCGTGGTGGCACATGCCTGTAATCCCAGAACTCAGGAGGCTGAGGCAGGAGGATCACTATGAATTCGAGACCAGCCTGGGCTACATAGAGAGTTCTATGTCAGTCTTAACTACATAGAGAGACCCTGTCTCAAAAAAAAAAATAAAACTCTGACCCATAATATTCATATTTATATAAGATAAATGTTAAAAGTGATCATAGAAATGGAGTAAAACATTTTTATTAGGCAGAAATCTGGATATTATAAGATATTTTATATTTAAGAAACTGTGGTGGGCTGGGGATTTAGCTCAGTGGTTCCTGCGCCTGCCTTGCAAGTACAAGGTCTCGAGTTGGAACTCCAGTACCAAAAAAAAAAGAAGCTATGTGGTAAATAATATGGCATTCATATGTAAGATCAATACATCTATTTTAAAACATGCATTTGAAATTAGTGGATTTTATGTACTTTTATACATTGAATAATCCTTTAGTTAAAAATAGAACATTTTGGGGCCGGTGGTTTGGCTCAGTGGTTCCACCACCTGCCTCACAAGCACAAGGTCCTGAGTTCAATCCCCGGTACACCAAAAATAAATAAATAAATAATAATAATACATTTAGCAAAAATATGAATTTTTATTTTGACCTTTAGTTTTTAAGGAAAATATCATTTTTCTTAAATTGCTGAAATCACAAATGACTATATTTGCTGGATTTTAATTGTGTCATCTGTGCTTTTCTTGTTTGTGTCTTTTTAAACCTTTCCTCTGGCATTATTTTAAATTTCAGGACCATTGTGGAGCAGAGTTTTACACTATAACCTGAAAAAATATTGAGACAATAAATTAAATGTGTTCAAAGCATTTTTTTCTTTTATCCTGACCTTACTTTGAACAGGTAATGGAGAGTGAAGAGTTCATGTTACTTCCAGCCAATCAGCTCATTGATATAATATCTAGTGATGAGCTAAATGTTCGCAGTGAAGAACAAGTATTCAATGCAGTGATGGCCTGGGTCAAATACAGTATTCAAGAAAGACGTCCTCAGTTACCCCAGGTAAAAAGAGAAATGCTTCTCTAAGAAAACTGCTTCATGTTAGAAGAAATGTTTCTGTACTTGCCTTGCAGAAATTCTGTAGTATCACTCTCTCTTGTACTAGACCATAAGAAAATCGGTCTGTTTCCAAATAATGAAGGGAGAGTTAGAAGCATTTTGATTCATTGTCATTGTGAACTTTTTGCTCCTTTACCTCCCTTCTCTTTGGGATTCATTTTATATTTGAGCTGTGGCAAAAATCAAAGCTCAAATGATATAAAATGAACCAAAGAGAGCAAGGCTGCTTCTTTCCCTCTGTAGTAATTTGGAAATCCTGCCACCCTTCGAACAGTAAAGAGATGAATGGGAGCACGAGCAGTGGCTGGGTGAAATGTTTAAGACTCATTCTTCTTATCAGGACTGCGCAGTGGTCCCCTCCTTATCCACAGAGGATGCATCCCGAGATACTCAGCAGAAGTCTGAAGCCTTAGAGCCCTGTCTGTACTGTTTTTCCTCTATGTACATACCTGTGGTAAAGTTTGATTTATAAATTAGGGGCAGTAAGAGATTGACAACAATTAACAGTGAATAATAATAATGAATAATGGCAACATACTGTAATAAAGCTTACTTAGTTCTGAAGTTTTCATTTAGTATTTCTGACTGAGGTTGTCTACCAGTGGTTGAAACCACAGAAAGTGAAATTGTAGGTAAGGAGGGGCTGCTGTGTCCTTTAACAGCTTAACACCATGTTCTTCCAGATTGTTAGTTCCTTTGAGGCCTCTTATAGAAAGGTTTATAAGCTATTGCTAAAAGCCCAAAGTAGCATTCCAGTGTGAAATTACTGTGCTTTCAATTTTCTGGTTATTCTGTGTTACTTATTTGGTGGTTAGAATAAATTTAAATTTTAGTATTTATGCTTTCCATCCTTCCTTATTTATCACGTTCAATTAGATCCCTCATTACTTTGAAGCACAGTATGGAACTGTGGGTCATGTATTCTCTCAGATATCTTGTAGGTGGGAGCTCATGCATCTAATAGTGTTTATTATCTCATAGGTGCTGCAGCACGTTCGTTTGCCTTTGCTCAGTCCAAAGTTCCTGGTGGGCACAGTCGGCTCCGATCCCCTCATTAAAAGTGATGAAGAATGCAGGTACGAGTGGCCTTGGATGAGAAATACCAGTAGCTGAGCATTTCTATTTAATTGTAATCTCCTTAAATGGCATTGCTTCTGAAATTCTGTATTTTACAGTGCTAAAACTAAGGCATAATTTTAATAGGTTTTTCTTCTGGACTAGGGTCAAGAGGAGGAGAAGGAAGGAGAACAAACTGAACTTCCAGTATTTTATTCATTTTTTGTGTGTGGTGCTTATTGGTATAGAAGTAGCAGTAAAGAGGTAGATTTCTAAGATTTTAGTGCAAACTTGGATTTGCAGAAGCAATTCTCTACTGTTTTACCTTGACATAAATACTGTTGACTCTGTGTCAGTGAGCCCTTTTCATTCCATCACGAGTTCCCTCGAGGAATAGGACCAGCCTTGCCTTCTGAGATCAATGACAGAGTTAAAGATCTGTCATCTCCTAAAATAGCTTTGGAAAGATTTCCATGTGAGCTAGTTTCCAAATTTTTTTTACCACCCCACCAGAAAAACACAAAAGCCTATTTTACTAGGCTAACTCTATAATATATACAGTCTAATCAATTAATTTATCAGTTTAACACTTTTTAAGATTTAGATCCAGTCTAAAACCATTTGACATTCTTAATGATTTTCCCCCAGATGTTCCAAATATAAAAGTGAAAGAACAAGTCAGTACTCAGAATTCCTTAAACTATGCTGATCTTTTCCCTTGGTGATTGAAGAAATTTGGAGTTTCCCCTTCTTCTAGAGCTGAGGTGGAATCATATTATTTCTTCTACATTGTATTTCTTCTACAATCTGAAGCCTGTTCTTTTAACAGGAGATGTTGCCTAAGGTGCCTTTTACATTTTCAAAAGGAGACAAATGACACTTAATTCCCCCTGAATATTTGCAATAGAAGAAAGTAAAACTATGCTGAAATCTGAGAAACGAGTATATGAATGTCCTTCCTCATTAGCATTAATCAAATTTTACTGATTCTGATGCAGAAAGTAAAAGTACTGGTGAAATTACTCTTAAAAGAAGGCATTTCTTGCTATCCTAACCTTAGGCAAATTATGTTAACTTCTTTGGACTGTAGTTTCTTTGGCTATAAAGTAGGGATAATAAAATACGTATTCCATACAAGTCTTTTGTGAAGATTAAATGAGTTAATATATATTAAGAACTTAAAATGTGTGTGTGTGTGTGTGTGTGTGTGTGTGTGTAGAAAAAACTAGTCTAGTAGCTGTATTTTTTTTTTTTTGGCTTGCTAAGTATTACAACAGATACTCTTTTCTAGGAATTCTTGACTGACTTAAAAACTGTCTATTAGGAGATCAAAACACTTTAAGTATGGGGAAAAAAAAACCCTTAATTATTGGCTTGCTAGGGATATGTGTGTGTGTTTAGGACAGATAAGTTTAGAAGGGGCTTTAGCAAAACTTTATGTTGGAAAGTACAATATTGAGTTATGCATGGGACTAGTCCAGCAGGAATAAATTACTCTTTGTAGCAGAGTGGCAAGAGAAATGAAAACATAGAGTGCTTTAGGAAACACTTTGAGTTGAGGAGTAACAAAATTTGCACTGATCACGCACTGACTATTTAAAGGACTCAAGTGAAATGAGTATAAACACAGTTTGTCTTAGGATATTATATTTAACAAGTAAAATTGTCAGTTTCTTTTTTCTTTGGTAGCGGGGATTGAATTCAGGACCTTGCACTTGTGAGGCAGGTGTGGTGCCACTGAGCTAAATCCACAGCCCTGTCAGATTCTTAAAGTACCTTAATTAAAAGAAGTTTTCGTTCAGCTTGGTAGACTTCTTGAGATTAAAATGTTCCCGCCAGCTTGAACCACTGGTGGTTTGTGCTTGACTGTCCCATTGGGCAGCTTGTACTATTGCTGGGGCAAACTGATCTAATCGCTTTTATCAGTCTTTTTACTAATAAAAATTAATAAAAAGCCACCCAGTGGGACAGTCATACATTTACCAACAGTGGTTCAAGCCACCCTGTGGCAAGACACACAAACTATGGCCTGAGTGTGAATGTGTTAATCCATTAATATGATAACAGATAGTAAATTAGTATCAAGTGCGTTTTAGTAAGCAATATTTGGCCCAATTTATTACTGTACTTAATTTAGCAAATATCTTTTGGCTGATATGCTATTTTTCCACTATTCAACAGAATCTTATAAAACTCATTAAAAAGTGGTGACTGTATAGGCTGGTGATCAAGTTGTAGTTTTTAGTTTTATGTAAGTTATTGACATCTGTATATGTGTTGGGCTTTAAGCTAGATTTACACTGAGCTATAAAGTCATTATGGAAATACCAGTCAATTTACAATGTATAGTATAACTATCATTGTTTCATATTTGTGCTAATTTTAATACTGACTGCCATTTATGATTTGGTTTAATTTATATTTGCTCTCCTTTGCCAACCTACATTTTTCTAATCATAATGAGACTTGACGAACAATGTTATTTAGACATTTAGAAAAAGCAATATTTTTTCTACAGAGATCTGGTAGATGAGGCTAAAAACTACCTCCTGTTGCCTCAAGAACGACCATTAATGCAGGGACCAAGGACAAGACCACGGAAACCTATCCGTTGTGGAGAAGTACTCTTTGCAGGTTTGAATCTTAATATACTGTGACTAAGTCAAGTATTTTCCCACATAATTTGAATAATCATTTGAGCAATAGTGATATCTGCTGTGATAAGAAACTGTCATAACAAGTAGCTTGACCCTTAACCCATGATCCAAAAGAATGCTCTTTTTTTGTATACATCTAAAAATATCATGCAGTGGAGTGGAAGGTTTTAAAATATTAGTCACATATATTAATTTATTAATATTACATTTATATACTGATATACAGGTCACTTCATAATTTCGTAGAATTGCCAAAAAAATCTTACATTAATGTTTACGCTCTTTTCTAGCTGTGTTGACCTACGTTGAACCCAAGACAACTTGCTGTATTGTATTATACTTGCTGTATTGTCTGCCTCTAAATCTTTGAGATCTTTCAATTTCCGATGTTTCCTTTCTACCCATGTAACCTGAACAGTGGCTTTCTCCACTGTTATTAAAACTTCACAGGAAGAATATTTCCTAATCTAAAGATCAAAAATGCCCCCAAATCTTGTTACTAAAAAAGTTTTGAATTTTAAAGCATTTCACATTTCAGATTTTCAAATTAATAATGCTTAGCTAATATTAAAAAAAAAAAAAACTATGCAAATAATCCAAAATTTGAGAAATTCTGAAACATTCCAGGTCCCAAGCATTTCATATAAGGGATACTCAATGTGTAATAGTTTGTTTAAATTCCTGATTCATGGAGCTATCAGAGACTTATTGTAGTCTTTTTATTTAAGCATCCAAGTTTCAATAAGGCAATATTGTTCTTCAACTCCATTGCTTAACACAAATTGAAAGTTCCCAGGGCTGGGACTTCCATTTTGCTAATTATAGTATGTAAGTCTCCATGGTCTACCATAACCAAATGCCATGGCCTGATTGGCTAAAACAATAGAAATTCATTGTCTTACAGTTCTGGAAGCTGAAAGTCCAAAATCAGAGCTGGCAAACTTGGTGTGGGACAAGGCCTGTGTCCTCGCCTTGTTGTAGAGGGTGCCTTCTCCTCCATCCTCACGTACCTCTTTTTTGTGTGCAAAGGTGTGAAAAGAGACACTTTCTGGTGTCTCTCCCTTGTACAAGGACTCTAGTCCTATAAGATAATGACCCTACCCTTATAACTTCATTTAACCATAATTAGCTCTTTAATGGCCTCCTCTCCAAATACTGTCACATGAAGCTTTGGCTTTAACATTTGAATTTTGGGGAGAGGCTGTTCATTCCATAATACCCAGTTATATCATTATTTGCTGCCTTGGAGATCATAATGCACAAAAAAATCACTATGGCACAGTAAAATTAAACAGACTTTCTTTTCTTTCCAAAGTCAGTGGAAAAATTTAGATTGTTTCTTAAAAGCTTATTTTTTCCTTTGGTGTTAAAGAGCGTCATTTATAAAGTGTTTGTTTGATATAGAATCATATAATCTATTTTAAAACTGTGCCTAATTAATGTTAAGCTATTTGATTGTCATAGAGTGTTATAAACTCTCATATTTTCAGCCTAGTGTTATTTTAGAATTTAGGATGCTTTTCCTGTTACTAAAATTCTGTGTATATATCAATTACAGAATTCAAATTTAAGAAAATGACTATACCCGAAACTTGCTGTGATTTAGTATTAATTGAATATTTTTATTCAGTTTTTTTTTTTTTTAAGACAGAATCATGTTATGTAGTTCAGGCTGGCCCTGAACTCACTGTGGTGCCCAGGCTGGCCTCAAACTCATGGCAATGCTCCTGCCTCAGCCTCCTGAGTGCTGAGATTATAGGCTGTACTACTACACCCAGCTGAATATTCTTAAATGAAACTCTAATAAAATAAAATTTATGTATCACATTGTGATTTGAAATAAAGTGAACTTTTAAATTTTGTCTAAAAGATGCTCTTTTAGTCTAGCATAGGATGTTTTGAGGTTACCATACCTTTATGCTTCGTTTTTTAAGATACAAAATCCACCTTGTGGGGGCCGGGGATTTAGCTCAGTGGTTCGGTGGCTTGCCTTGCAAGCGCAAGGACCCGAGTTCGATCCCCGGTACCAAAATCCACCTTGTATTTGGGTTAAAATAGAGATGATTTGAAAGAAAAATTATGTGATAAACCAGACATGGTGGTACACACCTGTAATGCCAGCACTCAGGAGACTGAGACAAGAGGGTCACCGTAAGTTTGAAGCCAGTCTGGACTACATAGTGAGTTCAAAGCCAGCCTGAACTATATAACAAGACTCTGTCTCCAAAAATAATTTTTTTTCAGTGTAGAAGCCATAACCACACTTTTTTTTTCAAGGGTCACTCAGAAAAGCTTAATGGAACTCAGTTGAAAACTGTTACTCTGAATATTACTTACTGTGCTTAGCCAGCCATAACAAAATAGCATAGTCTGGGTGAGTGAAACAAGAGCTTTGCTTGCTCACAGTCCTAGAGACTAGAAACCCCGGATTCTAGCCAACTCAGTGTCTGGATACTACGTTTAGTATTTCAGCCTGCTGCTGCAGACACCCAGGCAGTGCAAGCGTTGGGTCCCAGCAAGCTTGGCAGCGAGGCCTTCTGTGCTTCAGGGCAGCTCTTCCCTTAGCCGTTTCCGTTCCTTCCCAGTTGGCGGTTGGTGTAGTGGAGATGCCATTTCCAGTGTGGAGCGATACGATCCACAGACCAACGAATGGCGAATGGTAGCTTCGATGAGCAAAAGACGGTGTGGCGTTGGGGTCAGTGTCCTGGATGACCTGTTATACGCAGTAGGAGGCCATGATGGATCCTCTTATCTCAATAGTGTTGAAAGGTAAGGTTCATTTGAAATTGTTTCTCTTATTCCTGTAGTTTCATTTGAGGTGTTAATTAGGAGGAAACAGATGTGATTTCTTTGTATTATGTGTGTCACACCAGTTGGCATTTTAGATCGCCTATTTTTTCTAGTCTCTCTCCCATTGGACACCATCGTGCTGTTAGCATGCAGCCTCGGACCCCATAAATTGCAGTCTTGGGATGTGCTGTCTTCTGTCATTCCCCCTTTCTCCGGCCGTATGCGTGCTCTTCTTTCTTCCCTGGAACATCTCTGCTCCTTTAAGACTCAGATGTTACTTCCTTTGTTAAACCTGCTCTGGTCATAGAAATGAGTTAGTTACTCATTCCTCTGCTCTTTCGTAATATTTAGAACGTGCCAGTACCTATCCCACTGTCCTGTTGTTAGTTGATATTTTCTCCCGTACAGTCTATCACTGTGCTTGAAACATTGGAAACCTGCAGTGATTGATATTTGAATGGTTTCTACTTCTCACACATCCTTTTCCATTCTGCTGTATTGATTTACAGTGATCCTTTCTATGCAGTCCTGTGGCGTATCAATTTCTAGATACATAGATAGGATAACTGCAAAAAGAAAAAACAGGGATCAGTTCCATATAAAGGAGAGGAAGAGTTTGGCATGAAAGAACTCTTTAAGGTAAATTGATGGGTTAAAAAAATCCGAGTATGGCCCGGAATTTAGCTCTGTGGTTTCGCCACCGGCCCTGCAAGTGCAAGGGCCGAAGTTCGATCCCCGGTACCAAAAATAAATAAATAAATAAATAATAAATAATAAAAAATCCTAGTAGTGGGACTGGGGATGTAGCTCAGCAGCACAACACCAGCCTAGCAAGCACAGTCCTGAGTTTGATCTCCAGTACCAAAAAACCCAGAATAACAAAGACTCAATATTTATAACTTAGCAAACCTATATATCAAAGTGTGTAGAATGCAAATAGTGTGGTTCAGAGGCGAGCATGTGTAAACGTTAACTAGAAGTACTTCCATAACATACATGTTGAAAAATGAGCCAGGCTCGGTGCACACACCTATAATCTCAGCCCTCTGTAAGCTGAGGCAGGAAGATCCGCTGTAGGCTACATAGTAAGTTCAAGGCCAGCCTGAACTACAAAGCAAGATCTTGTCCAAATAAAAAATAAAAAAGACAAAAATTGACTCATCTACAAAAAAGAGCACTATTGTTTTTTTTTGTTTTGGTTTTGTATTGTTGGGAGTTGAAGCAAGAGCCTTGTTCAAGCTAAGCAAGCACTGAGAGCTACACTCTCAGCATGACAAGTCCAGTGGGCCCTTGACTTTTGAACTCTTATCAGGTCCTGAGGGCTGGTTGTAACTAAGTCAAGATGGCTGAGATCTGGATATTTACCTGGGTACTCAATGTAGATAGCAAGAGGCAGAGGAATCTTCCATTAACCTAATTAACCCAAGTTGTTCATATATCAGGCTGGTGGTAACTTCAGGGTCCACCACTGTACTTTTTTTTTTTTTTTTGGTACTGGGAATCAAACTCAGAACCTTGCACTTGCGAGGTAGGCACTGAGCTAAATCCCCACCCCCACTGTACTTTTTCTTGGTGGGGGTTTGAGATAGGATCTCACTAGGTAGTTGAGACTGACCTGGAACTCACTGTGTAGCCCAGGCTGGTCTCAAACTCGCACCGATCCTCCTGCCTCAGCCTCCCAAATGCTGGGATTACATGTGTGCGCTATCACACATGGCTCCCACTGTACTATTTTTAATAACAAAGTATCAGAAATGGCCTAAGGAGGGCCTGGGATTTAGCTCAGTAGCATCACACCTGCCTCGCAAGCACAAGGTCTTGAGTTCGATGCCCAGTACAAAAAAAACAAAAAGGCCTAAGGGTATACATCAATAGGAACATGATTAAATAATAGATGGCTATATAATAAAGTAGTTATAAAGAAAGAGCTATACTAGCATAAATAGATCTCAAAAATATATTGAAAGAAAAATACTGTTCAGGACATAGCACGTAAGTGGTTGAGCATCCATGGAGCTATGGGAGGACTCTCAGAAAATAAAGATGGCTTGAAAAATAAAAGCTTCGCGCCAGATATGATGGTGCACGCCTGTAATCCCAGCCCTCAGGAGGCTGAGGCAGGAGAATCGCTATGAGTTCGAGACCAGCCTGGGCTACACAGTGAGTTCCAGGTCAGACTCAACTACATAGTGAGACCCTGTCTCAAAAAACCAAAAATAAATAAAGTTTTATTTTTGTAGTTATTAACCAGCTCATACTCTGGGGAAGGAATACATAGTGTGTAGATCCTTGATTTGGAATATGGACACAGCCCAGCTTCTGTTATGTGACACCAACTCTGCCCTTGTGTTCTTTGCAGATATGACCCCAAAACGAACCAATGGAGTAGTGACGTGGCCCCCACGAGCACCTGCAGGACCAGTGTGGGTGTGGCCGTACTCGGTGGATTCCTCTATGCTGTGGGGGGCCAAGATGGTGTATCTTGCCTGAATATTGTTGAGAGGTGAGTTTTTCAAATGTCATTTTCAGGTCTTCTGGGGTTTTTTTATTTGTTTGTTTATTTTAAAAGATATGTTAGGCTCTATAAAAGAAAAAAATTACAGCTGAGTTTAGGACTTTTTGGGGGATCCATTATTCAGTAGACTTCCCATAGGCTTTCTGGAAAAAAGTTTTTAATCATTTCTCTTTTTTTTTGGTACTGGTGATTGAACTCAGGACCTTGCACTTGCAAGGTAGGCAGCGGCACCACTGAGCTAAATCCCCAGCCCAAATAGCTTTTAATCTTAAAATCTAGAGAGATGAAAGATACAAAAAAGTTTTTTTTGTTGTTGTTAATTTTTTTATCTGCTTCTGTATTTTTTTCTTTAACACAATTATACTGATTGTTTTCACTGTGACATATGCATATATCTTGGCAATTTTTGTTAATGGTGAACACAATATGATTTTTTGTTTGGTTGTTTTTTGACTGTATAGATAGGATTTGATTTGATTTGATTTGATTTTGGTTTTTTGAGACAGGGTCTCACTTATGTAGTGAGACTGACCTGGAATTCACTGTGTAGCCCAGGCTGGTCTTGAACTCAGTGATCCTCCTGCCTCAGCCTCCCGAGTACTGGGATTACAGGCATGCACCACCATGCACAGCTAGATAGGATTTTTTTTTTAATTGGTACATTTTAGGTATACGATACAGCTACATTCATCATTGGGATCTTGTACCTTTCGATGACCTATCTTAGTTATTTTTTTAACTTTTATTAATTTTATTGGTACATTACAATATAATGACATTCATTGTTGGAAATTTGTACCTTTCCATAATCAATCTTGGTTCTTATTTTTTCCCTTTTCTCTTGAAATATGATGTTTTGAAGTATGTCTGCCTTGTACAATGGCTAAGTCAAGCTAATTTATATATATGCTACCTCACCATTTTCTGTGGTGAATACACTTAAATTCTATTTTCATAGCAGTTTCCAAGTATACAATTCATTATTAAATATAGTCACTGATTGTACATTAGAACTTATTCCTAAAATTTTAGCCCAACAACTCAGGAGGCTGAGGCAGGAGGATCGCAACAAGTTCGAGGCCAAGATGGGCTACAAAGTGAGTTCAAGACCAGCCTGAACTATATTGCAAAACTCTGTCTCAAAAGAAAAAAGAAAGAAATTTTATATCCTCTGACTAGTATATAATCCTCACAACCTCCCACCCACCCCGTAGATAGTAGACCCCATTTTACTGTCTATTGTTATTTCTCCTTTGGATTTCACATGTAAGTAAGATCACACAGTATATGTTTTTCAGTGCCTGACTTATTTCATGGGCCATAATGTCCTCCAGGTCCATCCATGTTGTCATAAATAAGATTTCTGTCTTTTTAAGTCTGAATAGTATTCATGCAAGGTGTGTGTGTGTGTGTGTGTGTGTGTGTGTGTGTGTGTGTGC